GAATTAGGAATTTTTTGTGTTTTTGCTATATTCTGTATTATTTCTTTTAATGGCAACGAGATTTGGTCTTCAAACATTTGATACACTTCCGCCGGTATCCCATCAGTTCCCGGCATTTTATTTTTCTTCTGTTTCTTTATTGCTTCTATTATTTCACATGCAGTGATTTTATCATTTAATATTCTTTTTTGTTCTTCATTAAACTTTTTCTCATTCCATTTATGCAAGTATTCTTTCACCAACTGTATATTTTGTGTATCTTGTTTATATAATTTTCGGTAATAGTTTTTCATTATGCTTTTTACATCTTGTATATTCAATTTTTCTCCCCCCTTTTCATTTCTTAGTATTTTTATTATCTTCTTTTCTCTTTCTTTTCTTAATTTATATGCCAGCCAGTGTGAGGGCTCATTTGCATTTTCAAAGTAAAACTGTTTTGTATATTCCAAATTTCTAGCAATTTCTTGTGTCAAAAGTATATTTAATTGATGTTGTAATAGTTTTAGTTTTGCTTTTATTTCCATAGAGTTGCTCCCTCTCTTCATTTTCTCTTCTTCTTTTTAATTTTTTGTTTCTTTTATATTGTATTGGTTTTTCTTCTGTTTATTCTTCCATGCCTCTTGGTTGATAAATCACCCTCTCATAAATGCTTTAAAGGTATCCCATACTATATCTGTTGAGGTGTCTGGTTGCATATTTATTTTTAAAAATTCTTGGATTTCTATTCTGGTTTGTTCTACAAATTTCTCAATACATTTTTATTTAAGTACCATCAAATGAGACCACAGTAAAGATACAATAAAAAGGGGGGGGGGAAAGATATCCCCTGGAGAGTTAGGGAAAAGAGACAGTGCTAGTCAACATTAAGTAAGCTATTACAAACAAATAAAATTTCATATAGGTGGCTATTCCCAGAAGGCATACTGTTTAATCATGAAGAAGAGGCTAATTATCCAAAAACTAAGGAGTCTGAAAAGTAAAACTAAAAGAAAGAAGAGAGCAAATCTTACACCATTCCAAATACTAACAAGGTACCAATATAGAACAAAGACAAAGGGAGATAAAACCAGAAATGGAAACAAGAAGCAAAATTAAACTACTATCGGTTAATGTTAACGGATTGAACAGTCCACAAAAAAGGAAAAGGATATTTAATCAAATCAATAAAATTAAACCAGCTATAACATGCATACAAGAGACCCACATTAAGAAACAAGAAAAAAAATATTTAATTTCCAAGAAAACAGGCAAAATTTTCTCCGCATTGGAATCGAAAAAGAAGAAAGGAGTAGCTATTTATGTTAAACTAGGAAAAAGGCCCGTTGTGGAAATAAATACAGTGGCCTCTTGAAAGAGGCTGTGGGCGGGGACACTGAGTCCACCATTTTCTCCAGGGGAACTGATCTCTGCTATCTAAAGTACAGTTGTAATTTTGAGTGATCTCCAGCCCTCACCTGGAGATTGGCAACAATGGTTCCCCAGAAAAGAATAGTTGGTTTAGAGGGTGGAGTCTATGGCTTTGTACCTGTCCAAGGTCCCATGCCTCCTGAAACCTCACCCTCTCCAGGCTCCATCCCTCATATTTCCAGGAATTTCCCACCTGGAGTTGGCAACCCTATCTCCTTCCCAGCCAATCATCAATGTACCTTTATTTCCCCCTCACTCTTCAGCTTTCCACCTCTCACACACCTGCAGCCTCTCCCGTGCTCTGAAGCCCTGACTGCTATGTCACATTGGCTGTCATATGGGGGCCACCTCAGCAGCATATAAGGATACAGAGCCCACCATTTTCTCCAGGGGAACTGATCTCTGCCATCTGGAAAGCAGTTGTAATTCTGAGTGATCTCCAGCCCTCACCTGGAGATTGGCAACAATGGTTCCCCAGAAGGGAATAGTTGGTTTGGAGGGTGGAGTCTAGGGGGAGAGGAACAGCAAAATGTTTAGAATATTGGAGGCAGGACTTCGGCAAAGCAGCCAGTGGATAGGGAGACCCTCTGAATGACAGATCAGAGAGGAAACTGATTTTGGAGCGTGTGGAATGTTCTAGAGAAGTGCCACCACCATTCGGCTTTCATTTATAAGGAAGATAACATCTCTGCCCGGAACTAGTATATACATCAAAAGATGGAAGAATTGTAGCAATTTTGATTAAAAGACAAAACAAAAAAATGTTAATCATAAATATTTATGCCCCAAATCAAAACCAAGATTGCTTCTTTACAAATCTGCAAGAAATAATAGTGACTTTAAAATTTGATGAAATATGTATAGTAGGGGATTACAATGCAGTTTATGATCCAGAGATTGATAGAAAGAAAAAAAACTAAAAGTAAATGAGTCTCCAGGTTTTTATTCCCCCTTCTTCCTGATTGACAAGAAGGATGGTGGTCACAGACCCATTTTGGACCTCCGTGGGCTAAATAAATTTTTGACAAGACCCAAGTTTCGAATGCTCTCATTGCAAGAGGTTATTTTGTTGCTTCACCCAGGTTCCTGGTTTGCCAGCATTGATTTCCATATTGCTATTCACGAGGCTTTTGTCCCCTTGCTGTGTTTTGTCTATGATGACATAGTATTCCAATATGTGGTTCTGCCCTTTGGGCTGGCTTCTGCTACCCGAGTCTTTACAAAGTGCCTATCAGTGGTAGTTGCCCTCCAGGGGTGTACAATTTACCCATATTTGGATGACTGGGTGTTGGTTGCAGATTCCCCAGACCGCCTATAGTCAGGCATCACGCTTACACTTTCTACACTTCAGTCTCTGGGGTTGTTAGTGAATAGTAAAAAACCTACTCTCCGCCCTGTACAATGGATTGAGTTCATTGGGGCTGCATTAGATGCTGTTCTGGGGAAAGCATTTCTGCCGGAGGTCCGAGCGTGACGCATTATAACACTTGTGTGCACCCTCTTTACCTGTCGCAGGCACTCTGCTAAATATTTTCAATGTCTGTTAGGACATTTAGCAGCGTCCACAGCAGTGCTTCCCTATGCCAGATTACATATGACAGTTCTTCAGAATTGGTTTCTAAGAGCCTTCCACACTCACACAGACGACCCTAGCACACGTTTGACAGTGCTGCGGACAGTACTGCGCACTCTGTCGTGGTGGACCGACCTATCCCATTTACAGGCAGGAGTATTGTTCGGTTTTTGTCACCATGACATACAATTGTTTACGGATGCCTCCCTTATAGGCTGGGGTGCCCACTGTGGTGATCAAATGGTCCAGGGCCACTGGATGGTGCAGGAGGCTACTTTATATATTAACCTTCTAGAGCTTCGTGCGGTAAGAAGGGCCGTCTCTCCTTTTGCAAATTCCCTGTGGGGGCAGAGTGTCCTGCTTCATACAGACAACACGACTGTGCAGTATCACATCAACAAACAGGGTGGCACTGCATCTACAGCACTCACAGCAGAAACTATTGCTCTGTGGCACAAAATCATACAAATAGGAGCAGACCTCAAGGCCATACACATAGCCAGTTGCTTGAACACCCAAGCCAACCTCCTAAGCAGGGTATTTCACTCTTCACAAGAGTGGTCTAAGAGACATCTATCTGCAACCCCTGCTTTGAGTGTGGGGTATTCCGCACATAGATTTATTCGCTACCCCCCCAAATGCCAAGTGTGCCATCTACTGCTCCCAAGCGGCATTAGTTGTAGGGTCCTTAGGGGATGCTTTTCAGCTTTGTTGGACAGGAAGCCTGTTTTATGCATTCCTTCCACTTCCACTTTTAAGTCGGGTGATGGCAAAGGCACACCTCGAGGCCACCGCGACCGCGCAGACCATAGTCACCCACAGGGGTGCATTCAAGGTCAAGAGATTACAATTCGGGGTGAGCGTTGCCCCGGGAATTTTCCAACAACTAATGGACTCCTTGTTAAAAGGGATCCCTGGAGTGACACCGTTCTTCGATGACGTCTTGATTGCCGCCGCGACCCCCGACGAATTCGCCTCCCGTCTTCGCACCATCCTGCAGCGTTTTGACTCAGCTGGGCTCAAGGTGAAACATGAGAAGTGCCTCCTCGGGGTTTTGGAGGTGGACTTCCTGGGGTTCTGCGTCGATGCTACCAGTCTGCACCCAGTGAAGGACAAAGTAAAGGCCATCGTGGAGGCTCCCGCCCCCACGTGCAAAGCGGAACTTCAGGCATTCTTGGGACTAATAAATTTTTACCACGCCTTTTTGCCCCACAAGGCTGCGGTAGCAGAGCCCCTACACCGGCTCCTGGATAAGTCGGCCCCATGGACGTAGGGCCCGAGGGAGGCGGCAGTGTTCAGGGGGGTGAAAGCGCTTCTGATTTCGAACGATGTGTTGGCCCACTTTGATGAATCCCTCCCGGTCGCCCTAGCGTGCGACGCCTCCCCCTATGGCATTGGCACAGTGTTTGGACACATCCTTCCGGATGGCCGCGAGGTCCCCGTGGCATATTACTCGTGGACGTTGACGGCCGCGGAGCGCAACTATGCGCAAATAGACAGGGAGGGGGTGGCGATTGTGGCAGGGGTAAAAAAATCCATAACTTCATATATGGGCGGCTCTTCACGATTGTGACAAACCATAAGCCCCTTTTGGGCCTCCTGGCTGCTGACAAGCAAACGCCGCAAGTCATGTCGCCCCGGGTGCTCCGGTGGTCCCTTTTCCTGGCGGGGTACCAGTACCACCTGGAGCACCACCCGGGCAAAGCGATGGGCCACGCCGACGCCCTGAGCAGACTGCCGCTCCCTGCCGCGGACCCCGACTCGGCGCCTGCCACAGGGGTTCTGCTCATCGAGGACCTTCTGCAGCCCCCTGCAGGCCACCGATGTTGCGGCCAAGTCTACCCGCGACCCCCTTATCTCCCGAGTCTTGGGCTGGGTGGTGAGGGGGTGGCCGGCATCCTCCCCAGGGGCCGAGTTCACGGCGTTCACCACACGGAAAGATGAGCTTTCAGCACTCAAGGGGTGCCTCTTGTGGGGAGACCGAGTAATGGTTCCTAGCGCTCTTAGATAGAGGGTCCTCATGGCCCTCCACGAGGCACACCCCGGCATTGTGAGGATGAAGGCTCTGGCTCGGAGCTACGTGTGGTGGCCGGGAATGGATGCCGAGATCGAGTCATGGGTCCGGAGGTGCCAGACGTGCCAGGAAGTTCAGCCCAACCCACCAAGCGCACCCGCACAGTCCTGGGAGTCAACCCACAAACCATGGTCCCAGCTACATCTCGATTTTGCTGGACCATTCCAAGGACTAACTTTCCTAATCACGGTTGACTCCTACTCCAAATGGCTAGAGGTCAGCCCCGTGTCCACAACCTCCACCAAGGCAGTAATCCGATGCCTACGCCGGCTCTTCGCCACGCACGGCCTGCCGAACACTATTGTCTCAGACAATGGGACGGCCTTCACGTCTGCGGAGTACCTACGGAGGAATCTGATCAGACACATCCGCTCAGCACCCTTCCACCCCGCAACCAACAGCCAGGCAGAGCGGATGGTGCGAACTGCGAAGGAAGCCCTTAGCTGGATCTCCGAAGGGGACTGGGAGTTCCGCCTCGCCCAATTCCTCCTGACCCACCGGACAACGCCTAACCCCGTCACAGGTCACAGCCCCGCCAAGCTGCTAATGGGCCGGCGCCCGACAACGCTGCTGGATCGGCTGCACCCCGACCGGGCACCGAACTTGAGGGGACTGATCGAACAGCAGGAGCCTTCCAGGGGATTCTTTCCAAGGGATCCAGTGTTCCTCAGAAACTACGGGTTGGGACCCCCTTGGATCACGGGCCGCATAACCGGAGTCAAGGGCCCGACCTCCTACAAGGTGTCAACAGAGGCGGTCGGGTTCTGCAGAGACACATCGACCAACTGCGGAGGCGGCAACTCCCGGAGCCTGGGGACCCCCCCCCCAGTTGACGGCCGGGGCGGGCAGCCCCGTCCCGGAACCGGACATGCCAGCCAAAACCCATCCCCGCAAAGAGACTACGCCAGACAGCTCCCTTCCAGAGGACATCAAATCAAGAACCCAACATCTGGCCCCGCAACTGGCGCCGCAGCCCTTGGACACAGCTAACCAGCCGGAACCAGAGGTCAGTGCGCCAGTGCCGGCCCCCAGGCATTCCATGTGTGAGCGTTGCCTCCCCGCGTACCGTACTTGCAGGACTACATAACGTAGGCTGAGTTGAAACTATGAGGGGAGGGGTGTTATGTACGTGGACCGCCTCCAGGGGTCCGCGGACAGGCCAGAGCTTGGATCCAAAAACAAAGGAAACTTCGGATCCTGGATTCCCCAGCCCCAACCAATAGCCACCTTGGCGGGACATTTAAACCCTCCAATGGGAGTGGGGGGGTTGCTGGATATATATATAGTTGGCCCTGTTGGCCATTAGAGTTAGTCTTTGTCTATGTGAAGTACAATAAACGTGTGCTACAGCATGTCCTTGTCCGAGTCCTCCATGCGGCGAACCCAGTACTTTTCACCCAGCCTTAGAGATATATGGCTGTCCTTGACTAGAGCCAGGGCCTTTTTGGCCCTGGCTGCGACCTGGTGGAACTCTCTGCCAAATAAGATCAGGGCCCTGTTGGATCTTGTGCAATTCCACAGGGCTTGTAAAGCAGAGATGTTCTGCCAGGCTTCAGTTGAGGACAGTAATGGTTTACATCATAGCTGGCTGGCACTTTACCTGGATCCCTATTCCTTGCGGTGTTTACTCCCTCCCCGTGCTTTTGAAGCACTCACAGACCATATATGGGAGGGAACTGCAAAAATCTTCACCACTTGCTTTTATCATTGTATAATATGCTGGATATGGTTTTATGGTTTTAAAATTTGTACATTGCCTAGAGGCCCATAATCGTGGGGATTAGGTGATTAATAAATGTAATGTGATGTGATGTGATAAATAAATAGTGTGTGTGACCGCAGCCTTAGTCTGTTTTCAGTAGTAGTTTTGATGATGATGCATAATTTTTTAATATTGCCAGTTGAGAACACACTGACACCAAAGTTCTTTTATCATAACCTGTTTTGTTTTCAACTGCCTTGGGTTCAGTTTGGACTGACCATTGCCATTTCCACTTAACTTGGTATACATTTTATCTCTTTTATAGACAAGTAAAAGAAAACACAGAATAATTTTCTTTTCAGAGATGTTGACTGTATTTTGGCCCATTGTTTCCTTTTATGTTCATCCCAGGTTTCATGATCCTTATGTGTGCAATTGATCTGAATCTCATTTTGATGGATATTGCTTCTGAACCTTTAATAAAAATCTGTAGTTGGTAGAAGACAAGGTGTAAAAAATTCTCGTCTTACAGTACAATCCTAAGCAAAACAACACTCTTCTAAGCCAATTGGTTTTAAGGGTGTAACTCTACTTAGGCTACACTGTTATTCAATTAAGGGAAGAAAGACAAAAGGACTAACAATCTCTTCAAAACTGAATTTTGCTTATGTCTTACTGGAATGAAAACAACAACAACAGTTATTATGAGAGCAATGAGAAGCAGGTCTACTCATTTATTTATTATTATTTATTTATTTATTAAGATTTATACCCCGCCCTCCCTGCAAAGCGGGCTCAAGGCGGCTTACAAGGGGAAACCCATATAAAACAGATAAAAACAATAAAACACTGCACTGTATATAAACTAAGCTAAGCAAGTATGCATGTGTTCAGTACTTGGATGGGAGACTACCTTAAGAACCTTATTTACCCAGTCTTGAGTTCCATGATAGAAGGAAGGTAGAGTATGTATAAATGTCATAATTGAGGAAGCTGATTGAAATGGATGTGCTGTACTTTCATTGTTGTAATTAATGTGTAATTTTAAAAACCCTGAATTGGGGAGCAGCACAAAGAGCTGCTTGGGGAAGAGAAAACTTTCTAAGCCCTGGCATGTGGGCTAAAAGCAGTTCAGCATGCACAAGTATATTTGCATCCTGCCCCCCAAAAGGTACAAAAAGCACAAACTAGTCCATTACCATTTCCAAAAGAAAGCATGCTATAGAATCCTCTAAGAAGAAAGCACATCCTTATTTTTAAAAACAAGTTATTTTTAAATGTGGCAGAAAGACATGATCAAGTGATTTAAATCCAAGTTTTTAACTCAAAATGTAATTCAGAGGTAATTATACAGATTTCCCTGTTTTTATGCTACCCAGAATTTGTTTACTGATGACAATTGTATAAGGGAAACATGATCCAGCTGAAAATAGCAATTCCTAGGAAGCACAAATCCTAAAGCAGTTTAGGGAATGACATCACATATGAGAGAATATATCGTACACCTTTTTTACTCATTTAAAAAGCAGGACACATTTCAAAGATCAAACCTGTTTTAAATTTGATTTCATCTTCACTACATGCTCTGATTCCTTAACAGAGAGTAAATTGCACAACATATGGCAAAAGCTTATCAACTAGAAATGTGAACACCGTATAATTGCTTTTATTCATTCAAGTGGAAAGTGACACTCTTGTACATATGTAAACATCATGTGCCATGGATTGTCCTTTGAAATTTTACCAGCTTGCAAGAATTTTGTCTTAAATTAAATTTTATTTATCAGCTTGATAATTGATATATTGACAGATTCAGATAATTACAGACAAATTAAGCTAATGTTCGTTCCTGGGAAATAATGGATGAAAGAATGAGAAAATTATTAAAATAGAATTATTAAGCACTGTAGAGCAAATATATTGAGAAAGAACCAGCCCCTGGTAAGGACTTTTGGTACAAGGGGAGTGCATGACAAAGCAAAGTTACAAAGTACCAGGGAGAGTCTAAAACTCACTCTAGTCTTGGTAGGTTGCCACCAGGTCTTTCAATCTATCCCAACAGCTCTGGAGAGAAAGACCAAGCCTCCCAGCTTCTCAGGGAATTTAACAAGAAAAGTCAGCCCTGCAGAGTAGCACTGCAGTCTGAGTTTCCAAGACAAAACAGTTAACTGGTAGGTGGTCCAGAGCCAAGGCTCTGAACATAAGAACATAAGAGACGCCAATGCTGGATCAGGCCAAAGGCCCATCCAGTCCAACACTCTGTGTCACACAGTGGCCAGAAATACCAGTGCCATCAGGAGGTCCACCAGTGGGGCCAGGACATTAGAAGCCCTCCCACTGTTGACCCCCCCAAGGACCAAGAAGACAGAGCATCATTTGCCCCAGGTATCTATACCTTGTGGCTAATAGCCACTGATGGACCTCTGCTCCATATCTATATATCTAATACCGAAGTCGCCCCCTGCGTGCGGATACTTATTTCCGCACATTGGGGGCACCTGGGGGGGAGGGAGATTTTTGTGCACACTTGGGGCAGTCCCCAGGTGTGCACAAAAATCTGAAAACTGTAAAAAAATATCGGGGGGATACTTAAATCCCCCCAAAAGTAAATGAGCGTCCCCTGCGCATGCGCAGGGAAAGCTCTTGGAACAGCTTCGGCCTCACCACGGGGACTGGAGTTTGCGGGCTGGAGGGGGGGCGCACGCATTCTTTCCCTCCCCCCGGCCCACCTTGGCTTTCTGCAGGGCGCTGAAACGCAGCTGGTGGACGAAGGGGCTCCGCACCAGTGGGCCTTGCTCCTCTTTGCCGGCTTCCTCCCCTCTGTCGGCGTCGCCTCCCCCGCCCGGGGCACAGCATCCCTGGCCCTTCAGCCTCATGATGCAGGCAGGCGGGCGCGGAAGGGGGAATGGGGGGGCTGAGGCGGCGGAGTGGATGGGTGGGGGTGGGCGCGGAATCTGTTCCTGCGGAGGAGGAGAGGAGGCGATCGAGGCGGAGGGTTTCGACACTGCCGCTGACTAGGCCAAGCCACCGGCGGGGGCGATGATGGTGGAGGGCGGAGGAGGTCCGCACTGCGCTCACCCGCTGGGTCTCCCTCCACCACAGGGAGGGGAGGAGGAGGAAGAGGACGACACACATTTCTGTCAGGCGCCGCCACCACCACTGGGCTGCCCACTTCAGTCCCGACCTCAGGGTGCGGATGCGCGCTGGCCTCAGTGATGAGCGGCGGCAGCGGCGGGATGTCGAGGAAAAGAGAGAGGACGCGTCCCCCCCCGGCTGTTTAGTCCAAGTGGGCGGGAAAACAAACCATAAACAGGCCAAAGGCCCATCCAGTCCAACACTCTGTGTCACACAGTGGCCAGAAATACCAGTGCCATCAGGAGGTCCAGCAGTGGGGCCAGGACATTAGAAGCCCTCCCACTGTTGACCCCCCCCCCAAGCACCAAGAAGACAGAGCATCACTTGCCCCAGAGCCCCTAGCTATACCTTGTGGCTAATAGCCACTGATGGACCTCTGCTCCATATGCTTATCTAATTCCCTTTTGAAGCCGTCCATGCTTGTAGCCGCCACCACTTCCTGTGGCAGTGAATTCCATGTGTTAATCACTCTTTGGGTGAAGAAGTACTTCCTTTTATCCGTTCTAACCCGACCGCTCAGCAATTTCATGGAGTGCCCACGGGTTCTTGTATTGTGAGAAAGGGAGAAAAGTACCTCTTTCTTTACCTGCTCTTTCCCATGCATAATCTTATAAACCTCGATCATGTCACCCCTCAGTCGTCTTTTCTCCAAGCTAAAGAGCCCTAAGCGCTTTAACCTTTCCTCATAGGGAAAGTGTTCCAACCCTTTTATCATTCGAGTTGCCCTTTTCTGCACTTTTTCCAAAGCTATAATATCCTTTTTAAGGTGTGGTGACCAGAATTGCACACAGTATTCCAAATGAGGTCTCACCATTGATTTATATAGGGGCATTATTATATTGGCTGATCTGTTTTCAATACCCTTCCTAATAATCCCCAGCATAGCATTGGCCTTCTTTATTGCAGTCACACACTGTCTCGACATTTTCAGTGAGTTATCTACTACAACTCCAAGATCTCTCTCTTGATCAGTCTCTGCCAGTTCAGACCCCATCAATGTGTATTTATATTTAGGATTTTTGGCTCCAATGTGCATCACCTTGCACTTGGCCACATTGAACCCCATTTGCCATGTTGACGCCCACTTGCCCATCCTTGACAGATCCCTTTGCAGTGCCTCACAATCCTCACTGGTTTTGACCACCCTGAACAA